GGGGAAGAAGAACAAACTGGGGAGGAGGGTGGAGAGAATGGTGCAGCAATGGAGTGAAAGCCCAGAATCCCTGTGAATGTTCATTGAAACTAATAAAATTTAATAATAATAATAAACAAAGAAGGACAAATGGACACATGAACCTCAGCCTCCACTGGTCTGAGACCAAAAGAGTCAGGTGATGTCCAGCAGCCACTACTGACAACTCTGAGCAGAATGACACCAGTAGAAGGTCGTGGTCAGAATGAGAGAAAAATGCGGCACAAAATTCAAAATCCTAAAGGAGACCAGGTTTACTTGGAGGCAGGATACAAATGGAAGCCCTGAGGAGACAGTCTTCAAGTCTGAAACTGAATTCACTCCTGAAGATGGATATCCGCTTTCAGGCAAACCACAGGCCTATCATATGAAGAGCAACACCCGGGAGGAACGTGCTCCTCAAAGCCATCGATCATATGCAACCTAAGGGGGGTCCAAAACCAAAGTTCAGGAGGCAGGAAGGGGCAGAAAGGATGGAGGAGAGAAAGTAGTGAATCCAGAGGAAATGGAAGAGTACTGTTATATCCAGTGGATTCCAACTAATGTCTCAAAACAAAAGCATGTATCAGTTTTTCAAAGAGAAACTAATTTACTCTGCCAACTTTTACCTAAAGCACAATAAAACGTTTAAAAAAGGACAATAAAAAGTTAAAAACAATGTCCGTGTACATAGACAAACAGTACTAATACAAACAGTGCTAATGAAACTGAAAGTAGAAATTGGTTACAGAACAAAATGGTTTTGCCAACTTCTCTCGGGGAAAATGATCTTTTCCTCAGCGCAGTCTTCCCTGACCACACTAGCGACACATGGACAGTCATTCCACATGGACAGTCACTCGACCTCAAATTGTCCAATTAGATTTTCTAAATAAGGAGCTCTGGTAGCCCAGCGGCAAGAAGCTACACTGCAATTCTGAAGGCATGTGGTTCAAGGTTATCAGCTGCACTGTGAGAGGAGGATGTGGTCAATCTCCTCCCCTGCGATTAAATGTCTCTGAAAACTCACCAGAGGGTCAGCTACCTGTTGGTTCCAACTTGACAGCACACAACAACACAACAACTAAAACATATTAGTCTTTAAATTATTTTTACCATTTTTGACCACCACAGTTTGAGGACAAGAACTCTGTAGTGATCACTAGTTCTTCGAGCTAATGCCTAGCTTAATGTGGGTATTCAGTTAATATCTGCTGACTGACTTCCTCTTGGCATTGTGTGAGAGCACAGGGTCATCTACAAACCCCATTTTTAGTATGTACCACCTCTCCCAATAACATAAAAATGTCAAATAAAAAAGCACCAATCTTTAGAGACCTCAAAATTACCTCACAGATTTTTAATATTTAGCTCTCTGCGTTTACCACCAAAGTAGCTCTTCCCCTTAGGGCTTTGAAAGCTGCAACCTTTAGAGAAGCAGATCACCAGTACTTTCTCTCATAGAGTGGCAATGTACTGCTGAATAAATCCCTAAAGACTACACCACCAGGTCACCTAAATTCTGCTGTTACTTTTGCCAGCAGCTGGAGTAGAAATCCTCAATCGTACTTACAAGTTTGTCTGCCCTGACATCTCTATAGCTTAGCATAAAGCAAAAAGAACTTCTCTTTCTATAAACCTTGCTGGATTTGCCCTACTGAGTCACCCGTGCTGAGACATTTGGGGACTCCTTCCTTTATTAAAGAGCTCACCTCCCTGCCTTAGCTCTGGAACCCTAAAGGCAAAAACCAGCCCGAAGCCTTTGAAATGCCTATTCTCTGCTGACTCAAGCACTACAGGAGTGGTCCCAAATGCCTTTCTAGACTCAAGGGCTCACCTCTCCTGGTCCTCTGAAGTGTCTCTGGAAATCCTCCACCACAGCCACGGCTTCCTCCCCACTCCTGGGGTGACGCAGCTGCACCCAGGACCGGAGCTCCCTGGGAAGGATGCTCAGGAACTGCTCGAGCACCAGCAGCTCCAGGATCTGCTCCTTGGTGTGCACCTCTGGCATCAGCCACCAGCGGCACAGCTCCCGGAGGCGGCGCAAAGCCTCCTGGGGCCCGGACATCTCGTGGTAACACAACTGCCTGAAGTGCAGCCGGAAGATCTCACAGACGGGAGGGTGGTTCTGGAGACCGCAGCTCTGTCCTCCAGTCTGGCCCCCCGGCTCTTGCTTCACGGTCAGGCACCCCTCCTGTTTCTGCATTACTGGACCCATTGAGGTGAGATCCAAAGTTGCCCTCCCTTCAGAGTGCATCATAATTTGTTCCAGCTGAAGTCTATTTGATTAAAATGCCAGTCTGTAATTCCGGTCTTAGGAGTTGTTTTCCCCAGTTGTGGAGAGGAAGGGGACAGAAGTGTCACCTGTAAAAATAGCAGAAGAGCAATCAGAGTCCTTAAAGCGTCTTAAGCTAACAGACCTTATATATAGTTAAAAAGCTAAGGTGGGGGTGAGTCGGGGTAGAGCAGAGAATACAACCAATCTCTGCAAATCAGATCCCTTCTTAAACTTTCCGCAGCTCCTATCACCTACAGGAAAAGTCCTACATTGTCTGTGCCTGGTATTTGTAGCTCGTCACAAAGTTTTCAACCCCGCCTCCCAGCTCCACACTCAAGTACTTAAAGAAGACATTAATGATCTTCCGTGTGGGGTCTGTGAGATCAAAGGGAGCAAAAGACAAAAAAATACTGCGTGTTTATATTTCTTTCCTGCTTTCTGGACTTTTCTTTAGAGTGATTTATTAACTCCTGAAATTTGTGATCTACGACTATGTGTTTCCTTCTGCTGTGCACAGAGGTGCCAAGTTGCAACCAATTCCCTGGCACCTAACCACAGACCTTTACATCACAAATGCAAACTTGAACTCAGGTTAAAAAACTCTTTTGCTAATAGAAATGCACAATAAAGTTTGGAGACAGAAGCTCACGAGACATTACTAGCACTCTTTCTTGATTTGGAAACTTCCTTTAGCTTCTGCAAACTCCTTATTTTTCATGAGCCTAAACAAATGCTTTTCCCCTTGGTGGCTCTTCTGCAGAGTAGACAGTTCCTCTCTCACACCAGGACATTTTGCATAGTTTACCCTGCACACGTTTATGAACTGCCAGATGGTGAGGCATCAGTTAAGTCAGAAAATGCTGGAACTTCTTCAACCAAAGTAACTGCTCCCTATCTTACAGGCTTAAGAGGGGGATTCCATCAACTCAGAGATCACCTATTTCCTTTATCGCTGAAATCTACTAGAGCACTCCTCACAGTGTAACTGTTTGTGATTGGAATGGGTGTCCCCTGTGATTTCTGGAAGGATCCATAAACAGGCTTCCAATTAACTGTGGACTCCATATGTGACACAAGGAAGCACATACTTAGTAGATGAAGAAATGAAAATCATGTTAAGGATTTCCGAAGCTTTCTGCCTCTCTGTTCATAAAATGTGCTCATGTATCTGAGAGATTCCCCCTCCCCAATTTGATTCTACCAACGTTTATTATTCTAACCAACTGCAGAGCTGAAATTTTTATGCAGCTTTCTCTGAAGTGGGGGGAGAAACTTTCATCCTGTTTGAAACCCAGTACTGGGGCACTGGCGGTTTGCTTCAACTGCATGCATTCCAGATCCCCGGGCAAACGCCTTCTGAGCTTCAAGTTCTTTTAAAACCAAGATCTCGCACACAAACGGCTCAAGTTCTGGCCATTTTCCTAATTCCTTTCTTTTCCGAAGCTCTGCAGCTCATCTCTTCTGGATTCTTGCGTTCTCATGTCTCCCTTTGTGTTTGGAATTCCACGAACTGCGTCTGACCCGCTTCGGATGATTCGTGTATCTATCGTCTCTCCGCTTAAGTTTGACAAAACGTCTAGCTACTGTAAACAGGCCAGCGGGGCGCCCCTCACCTGAACACGTGGGCCCTGTTCATCGCTGTGCCCGCAGGTGCCAGGCTCCGTGACCGGCACGGGGGTCAGAGAAGCCGACCAGAAGTGCTGGGCGTCCGGCGACTTCAGCGCATCCGGGAAGGCGGGCCACGGGACGGAGCGCAGGCCGGTGACCCGAGCTCCGGGTCGCAGGGTCTGGGGCCTGAGGGCGACAAGCCTGGCTCCCCAGGCCCAAACTGCCCAGGACGGACCCTAGACTGCAAAGCCTTCGTAATGAAGGTAGACACCGCGCAAACAGAAACAGAAACAAAATCAATGCCCAAACCGGAAGTGGCTCAGCCCCCCCACTTCCTGTCTGCCTCGCGGAAGTCCGGGTGGCGGAAGGGGGCGCATGCGCAACACCGGGGAGGCGGGGAACCAGGCTTCCACCAATCAGGGTGAGGGCGCAGGGCGGGATTTGTGTGCCCACACTCACGTCAAGGCACTTCAGTGTCCAGGCAACCCACACTCACCGCTTCTCTGCCCTTTCCCTTTTCAGTGATCATGGGAAAGATACTGGCCTCTAGCAGTCAGTTTTCTCATTTGAAAAGTGGGTAGCAGTTGGATAACCTCACAGGACAATAAATACTGACCGAAGTAATACAGAGATATCCCTTAGCTGAAGTCACTTTTACACAGCATGAGTCTCAACAGGCATAACCTTATTAAAGAAGCAGCAGGCCCAGGAATCGTGATGTGTATGGTCATTCAGTCCTGGAGTGCTGGTATCCAATGAGAGGCTCTTAGAGAAGAAGCTACGGGAACAAAATATGTTGCAATTCACAGGTTGCAAAGATCACTAATCTTTGGGAGGCACTGCACTGTTAATGCTTTATTGTGAAGAACAGGGTGTAAAGGATATCCTTGCTGGTAACCTATTTGAGCAAGCCCTGGAGGTACAGATTCAGAGAGTGATGGTCATAGGTAAAGGGCAGAGGACTTGATGATGGAGTTAAGGATGTCTCATTACTCTGGTCCAGGAGCTATCCTTGGTGCTGAAAATAGTCATGCAAAAGGTAGTAGCGCCCTCTACTGGACAAAACCAAACTAAGCCTGGGTGTCCTTGGATTGATTGGGGCTCTTATTGGCCTGGCCTTGTGGAGAAAGGCAAATAAATATATAAGCAAATCAGTACTCTGTATAGATATAAAACAGACTGAATTTCTAGTGAATGGTTGGGTGGTCAGGGTAGGATTCCACTTACATTGGAAATCGAGTTAGAAGAAGTTGCAGAATCCACAATGAAAGGAGGAGACGTGTACCAGGCACTTTGAATGGTCCTAAGGTACAAAGGTCCTAAGATGTAATTGACTTTATTGTTCAAGTAACAGTAGGGCGTCCACTGTGACTGAGTGAGAGATGCTGCCAAGGGTAGGCAGGGCCTGATCCTCAAAAGATTTAAAGACAAGTGAAGGCATTGATGGGGGAGTGAGGGAAATGGTTATAGGAGCAGGAGGAAAAGCAAGGAGGCTCATTGGAGCACCATTGCAGGAATGCACTTGAGCCAAGACAGGGCAAAGAACATGGTGTTGTAGAGATGAAAAGACATGAGTGGATTTTCCACATAGTCTGGAAGGAGAGTGAATAGGATTTATGAATGGTGTACATTTAGTTTTATTGTTAGGTGACTTTGATTCAATTACCACTCATAGTCACTCTATGAACAGCAGATCTGAATCTTACCCAATCCTAAACTATCTTCTCTATTTCCTCCAAGTCCATTGTTACAGTCACTATGCTCATCCGTCTCCTTGAGGGTCTTCCTTCCCTTCACTGACTCTCTGCCTTTCTCAGTATGTCTTTTTCCAAGGACTCACCATTCCTGACAACATTCCCAATGTATTCACAATAGCAAAGAGCTGGAGACAACCCAAGTATCCAGCAACAAACAAATGGACAGAGAATCTATGGTATATCCACACAATGGAATAATATGCTGCACTGAAAAACAAGGAACTCATGAAATATTATGCAAAATGGGTGATCGTGGAAGACACTATGCTGAGTGAAATATCTTACTTACAAAAGGGCAAATACTGCATAACGCCACTGTTGTAAAATGGGACTGACATCTGGGTTGGGTGGAGACTAAGAAAGATGGGATAAATTATGTATAGTGCATTGAAACAGATGAGGAAGAGAACTGTTTAAAAGGGATATGTGATTAGGTTTTATTGTCATGACAGGAGTCCAGAATGAAGGCTGCATAGTGGAATTGGCTGGGGGGCAGAGGTATTATATAACAATGAAATAATTTTTCTTTTACTTTTCAAAGAGAAGAGCAAACTAGGGGGGGAAGGGTGGGCAGGGAGAAAAGTGCAACAATGAATGAATGGAAATCCAAAGTCTCTGTAAACTTTCATTAAAATTAATAATAAAAAAATAAAGTGAACTGGAGGGTAATAGGGAGGAAAATGTGCAACCATGAATGAATGAAAATACAGGTTTTCCGTGAACTTTTGTTAAAATTACAATGTAAAACAAACAAAAAGAATCACTCTCAGCGATTGTCAACAACACCAAAAATATCCTGATGGCTTATGGTCGTGTGAAGTTTATGATCAATGCATGAAAAACATGCCAGAGTCCTCAAAGGATCAGAAGAGGTATCCTCTACCTGACCAATACTGGGTAATTTTTCTATCCAAAGAGAAAGATGCTTTATGGTCCTTTATGAACTCTTTTATCTGAAGGACTGTGAGATGAAGTGGCCTGTGTTTGATTCAAACTATATCAAGGGGACCTTGAGAGCTAAAGATTGAGGTAGGTGAGGAGACTCTGATTTCTGCCAAGTTGAGTTTTACATCAGGGCTGTCATTGAGTTTGAACATTGAGCACTTCAAATGCTATTCTGAGACTCCTGAAGTGAAGACACTAGTAGAGCCTATGGGCACTCATACATGCTCACCGGGGTCCTATGTCCTTTCTCTAATGGACTGTATTTCTGTCTTCCTGGCTACTGCTATCCACTACCCAACCTGAGTTGTATGTGTGTGTTTTCTTTATCTTCCATGATGCATGGGGCCATGAGGTGTCTGCAGACTCAGTCACAACCTTGGCCTGAGTCTATGAAACCTCCAGTCAGCTTCCCTTGTTGTTGTTGTTATGTGTCATTGAGTCTCTTGCGACTCATAGCGACCCTATGAACAACAGCCCTAAACTCTGCTCTGTCCTGTGCCAATCGCACTGTCTCTGACACTCCCATCCCAATTATCCCAGTCACTGAATCAATCCACCTCATAGAGGGCCTTCCCATCCTGCGCTGTCCCTCCACCCTCCCAAGCATGA